AATTTATATCCAACTAGCTGTTCCCGGGACTTCTTTCACATGGACTTTGGGATTTGTTTAAATATTTTTTAAATAGAAATCGAAGAATTGAAATAAGGCGTGAAAAGTGTCGATCGAAATTTATAAAAAATAATTTTTATAATCAAAACAAAAATATATATATTTTTTGTTTTAAATAATTATCAAATAAATATAATTTAGTAATGTATGTTTAAATGGAAATTAATGCAGTGCCTGCGACTTCGTTTGCGTGGACTTTAGTATTTGTTTACATATGTTTAAAATAGAAATTTCGCTTCGCTAGGTTTTATGGAGTTATTAAAATACAGCCCAACTATCGCTTCGCTCGGGTTTTATGGTTAAAATAGAAATATCGCTTCGTTCAAGTTTCATGGAGTTATTAAAATACAGTCCGCCATCGCTTCGCCCAGGTTTTATGGAGTTATTGTCAGTTGGTAACGTCGTGATACAAGAAGCTCGACACTTGCTTATAATTATTCAGTGATCAACATGATATACTTCTCTAAGTTAAATAAACATGGTATTGAAGAACACAATTACATGGTATTGAAGAACACAATTGTCAAAGTTCTCGGGAGTATAATGGTTCGTATCCCCAATGTGGAGGTAAGTGAGTTTTTGAGGGACTTTAATTTTGATATAACACACATAACACAATTTGGTCCTCGACGTATAGTTAGAAATTTGCCCGAAGCATTTCTCTTAATTGTTTCGTCTGTAACATAGGCGCCTCTTTTCCTCCGTTAAAGGTCTGGCTTGATTTCCGATACAAGACGAGCTCAAGAAAATTATGGAACTTCTTATTACATACAAGTTTTTTTTTTTTTTTCCAATCTGAAGTTTTTAATAAATAGTCGAAAAATAGTGTCGAAGTTGCTTCGGTAGGTCTTGCTAGATGGGAATGGTAATTGCAGTTTTTCGTTACAGTGCACTTGTAGAGCAAGCAGTTCATATGCTACCTATCTAGTTTTACTTCAGTCATTCCATGTGTTTTTGCACAACTATCAGTTCCCTGCAGGTATGTAAAACAGAAAGAATGCATGTTTCCAAACAATTGGGCCAGGAACGATTTTTTTTTCTAACTTTTTGAAATAAGCGATACCAGAGTACTGTTTGGATTGTATATTTTATATCCTCAAAACTTTTCAACTTTCTTTTCGTCCGCATCAATTATGAAACATAGCAATTCCATTCGGTTAAAGGTTGCGTGTTGATTAAACGTTAGATAAAACTGTGCTGGCTCTAAAAGCAATTTAAAAACCAGTTTCGGAACATATATATGTATGTGCATACTATATATATACACATTATGTAAAGAGTTTCACATACACAAATAAATACATACAAATACATACTACACTCATTGCCATAAAAATAGTCACACCCACACAACTAATTCCCATAACTGGTCACTAAAGCCCCTGGCACTGTAAGCGGTTAGTGGTGGTATTTTTTGTTGTATTGGTGTATTTCGGTTGGTCAACGATGTGTTCCATGGCACAAGTCACGGTTGGCATTGTAAATTTTTTCGCAGCTGTGCCAACAGATAACAGTATAGTGTTAAGAAATATGTGTCATTTACTTCGATTACTGGACTGAGTGTGAATGAAGAGATTTGGGCGGCTCTTAACATCGGGATCTTGAGAGCCGATGGGGGTGAAGCGAGGTATGAAGCAGCTCCGGAATGCAGAGGTGGGGGTAATGGGAGAACCCCGAGAAGACCCGCTGACATGCGGCATTGTACGGCACAATTCGCCTTGGTGAGAGGCGAGTAGTCTAACCACTGCAGCAGTGTGGCGCCCTATTGCTGGGATTTGTATTTTTATAATTAAGCGAACATGACTTTTATTGCTGATATTTTAACATTTTAAAATTAAGCACTTTAAATTAAGCTATATTAAAAACACTAAGTCATATCTTAATGCTAAATATTAAGTGTCCTGAATTTTGAAAACAAATAATGATATTTACATAGTTAACTCAAATACAATCGCTTCATAAAAGCTTGCAAATACAATATGTATGATTGGCTTTGTATTTTTATGTTATTGCTAATGTAACTAAACATATCAAATTATGCTTGTTGTTTAGTAACAGCATATATTATCACATATAAATACCTTTATTTTAACTATTATTTCCGCCATTTCAAAGCTTTTCCACTGCCACTCGTTCAGTGCCTATAAAATGTTCTCTAATTGGCCGGTTAGTGGTAAACATACGAGCTATTACAACACTCTACAACTCCCAACCACCAAAAACAGCACCAACACCAACCCCCAAACCCCAATTTTGAATGAACCTAGAACTAACCACCAACCATAAACACCAACAGCCGCCAACACTTACCATTAACACCGACTACATATTGCAGCAGATGCTCAACATCATTATAGCCGAGATAACGTGGACGGTCGTAGGACGAAGCTATGTGCAGCGTGAGCGTGCAGTAAACGTCAGTAAGTAGGGAGCACGCCTCAGAAACGTGTTCGACACAGGTATGAACAACATGTAGGTATGTTTAATTTTGTCATAGTGTATATTTGTTATGCTAGTAGTAGGTATTATTATAAATAACAAATAAATTGTTTCTTTAATGTAATGTATTGTAAATAACCACATAATAGTCACAATCAAGTTATAATAAGTAATTGTTTTAATGGTATTATGTATTTTTGTTTAACGTATATATTATTAGTTAACATGTTTATATTGTTTCTAAGCAAGTTACATATTCTGCGACCTACAGCTTGGAATCAGTAGGGGCACAATTTGATAAATAAATGAAAAATATAACAGTTCGATCGTGCTATGAGCAGTGGGATCTTAAGGAAACGTACGCACCGGAAAAAGGTTCCGGGCGACCCAGAATGATCATCATAAGAGAGGAGTATTTTACCGTCTAACATGCAAAAACCCAACCAACAGTGTCACTTCCCAACAACCAGAGATGGCATAACTTGTCGCCCCTGTTTTCATTCGCACTATTCCAAACACTTGCGTTCTTGACACCCTTCACGTTGTAAACGGCGACTTTGTTTGCCAGTTTGTCATAGTCAGGTGTCACGGACAGCTGGGAACGACGATGCATCGTCTTCAGTGACGAATCCAGATTTCCTCCGGACACGGATGGAAACTGTACTCCAAATGCCTACATAGAGGAACAGGATAGTGTACAAATCGGGATTTCGTTCTTGAGCGACACACAGCGAGAACTGCTGGTTTCACGGCGTGGGGCGAACGCTCCTACGATCCTCAGTCTTCTCCGTTGGTGATCAGGGACACACTGATGGCACAGACGTTCTTGCAGGGGATTCTGCGATCTCATGCGCTTTCCCTCATGATGCAGCTCCAATGGACCATTTTCCAATGGGATCATGCCCTCCAACTTACAGCACGAATTTCCCAGGATTGCCTTCATGGTGTCGACATACTTTCTTGGCCAGGCCAAGTCTCCAGAGACTATGTGTACAGAATGTTTCAGAAATGATGGTTAAAAATGTAGTGCTCGAGACGTACAAATGAAGACGAGCAAAAGAGGTCCAGGAAACATGGGTCTGGAAATGAACACTATAGTTATTTTTTTTCCATAACTACGATGAAACTTTTGTCCAGAATAGAATGAACAATATTACGTAAATACAAAAATGATTCTTCACGAAAGGACGCGGTGGCTTAGTGGTTAGACTACTCGCTTCCCACCTATGCAAACCAGGTTAGATTCCCGGCAGGGTCACCCCGGATTTTAGCATGTGGGAATCATGTTGGACGATGCTGCTAGTCGGCCGGTTTTCTCGTGTATTTCCCGTTACTCGCATTCCAGCACTACTCCATACTCATCTCACTTCACCCTCATCGACTCTCAATACCTCGCAGTTAAAGATGGGTATACGATTGACTTTACAGAACCTTAACCAGTGTGCTTAGAATATGGACCAATGTTTTCAGGGGTATTGGTTGATGGCTGCAGCGTGCGGGTCGTGTACTGGTCGTGTGCGTTCTTGGCTTGATTTGAGAGATCCTTATATTTTATATCTTAAGTACAAGTCAAGACGAAGTAGTCAATCAGAGCACAGTGACAGTTGTTTTAGCGCGAAACTGTATTTACAACTTGTATTTATGTTATGTTGTATTGTGAAATCGTTTGAAATTAATTATTTTAACTAGGAGTTAGAATCTTCTTTTTTAAAAGAACTGTTCGTCATATCTTATTTCTTGGAATAGGTTATTGAATGTGCTTTACTTTATTTTTCTCAGCTATATTGACATAAATGCTCATTATTGGAATTGGCATCCTCCTCTATAAGATATCAGAAGTTTTAAGAATTGTTACATAAGCCGTAAACACAAAAATAATCCTCACTCGCTTATTTTCCAGGTTATGTCGGCTGCTCCAATTCTTATTGGCTAGACTTAACAGTTGCTAATTCACTCGTAATATTCAAAATTTATTTTTCTTGAACTTAACGAGTCATAAGTACAAGTGTTAATCTTTCAGTATTTAATCGTAAACACACCTTCAGAGCCTCACAAATCTCCCATTGCTGATTCCTCGAGGATGGGCAAAGGGGTCAAAGGCTGAAGGGAAATTATGAGTAACAAAGAGGTCAGAGAACAGTTGTTCTTGTGGTAGGCTGTTCACTGTAAAGTAGGCACTTTTTAAGGCCCTTTCAACACGCATTAGCCACTAATAAATAAATCTCATTGCAGCCCCAGGCATTAAATTTCGAGGGTGTTGAAATGTATACACTGTATTTATTTGTAACATTGCAATGTATATATTAAAAAGCAGCAGGAATATGGAAATTGGATGAAAGGAAAAATTTATATTGGCCTTAGAAAGTGCTCACTTTACCGTGAACAGCCTGTAGTGAATATACTCACAATTTTAAAATAGCTACCGATATTTATCACACATGAAAATTGTTTTTGGAAATTGATGGATTTTAAATACAATTCTTATCCATCACCGTTTATAATTCTCGGTAGTATAGTGGTCAATATCCCCTGCCAATCTCGTGGGATACCAGGGTTCGATTCCCCGCCGAGGAGCACATTATGAAACTCAAATTTGTTCAAATTTTATAGTGATCTTGAATTTAGTGTAATAATTAAAAACCTTACCTGTTACTTTTTAAGCAATCTTTGCACACATAGCAAAACTATTCGTGTCTCACTAGTTTAATTTAGTTTACTGCATAAGCAAGTTTGAAAAAAATATGTACTGGACATACAAAATTTAAAAAAAAAATTATACTCTTTCTGTGAGCTGCAACGATTCCTTTCAGAGCAATACGTGTGTGTGTCTTTACGTGGGTCGATCTTACAGGAAGGGATTGAAGTAATAGTTAGGTGAAAAATGAATAAACGAACCATTAATGCTCTGGGTATTTATTGCCCAACACTGTAGAAAACACAAACAGAAGAAACAGACGTAAAATGAAAAACGCTCACTGTAGTATTAGATTGGACGTTATGAAACCATTAATTAATTGTCTCATCACTACAAGTGCTGGAACACACGTCCATTGACTTCCAGACAAACACTGCATCGTGGTACCATACTTTGTAGAATAGGTGGTTCACTATTAAGTAAGAAATCTTGAAATCAACGTATGAAAAAAAATCACTGGCCATAACTGCTTATATTTTAGCGCAAGCATGAGTGCAATTTTCACAGTTAAGTTGGCAGAAAACTTCGAGAAGTAACTTAGTTCCATGTTTTAGTGTTCAACTACTTGTAAAGTTAAACAATTTTGTCACCAGCAATTCAGTTTCTTTTTCCTGTATGGAAATAATAATACAATTTCTCGTCATTGTAACGTATTGAAGTTTTTTACTTTTTCACATCTTTACTAGGCTTCGCAGCGTTCAAGTAAGCCTGTTCATTGTTTACTTTGTTATTTTTTTTCCGGTCCGCACTCGTTTCTCAACAAAATAAAATTTCATAACCAACGTGATTTTCAGTGTCAGTTTGTAAAGCTTCAAATAAAGTATTGACTAGCATAATAAATAAAACATTCTTATACATGTTCTGAGTGAAGTGTGTTACGAAAGCATCATGCTGTGCACGTTACGGCTTATACAACAGAGTTAGAAAAGCAGACCACGAGAATGTTTATAAAACACAGAGACAAATCAACGAGCCGCTTCGGCAATCTGTAAATTAACTAAGAAATACGCAAAGTTAAACAGAAAATGTGGATCCAGCAAACCTCATGAAATTCCTTCTAAACATTAGCAATCTACTGGGAAACTCCGCCCTCGGTGCACAGCGGGGACCAATAGGAAGACATTTCGCAAACGAGCACGTGGGGTGGGGCGAGAAGTTTGAAGGGAGCCTTGGAACCAGCCAAGGGTGCAGTCGGCGACAGGAACCTGGCGCCTCCACCATACAAGAAGGATTTAGGGGCGTAGCTGAAATGATTGTTAATGGTGGAACTGTTATGGTAACTGAGGGGGTTTATTCATGGTATGTGAGACACAGACAATACAATACTGAACGAGTTACTGTAACGGGGAGTGACCTTAAATGTTATTAAGTTACTAATTAAATTAAGTAATGAGTATCGCACGCCATTTCTGTTTATATATAAATCGAACAGTGCCCACTTTATTCTTGATGCTGGAGGCTGTATTAAGCTGATCATCGGATGGCGATGGTCGGACACAGACACACCCATGTTGTGATCTTCCCTGGATGCTGGTCGTATGTGGAAAGACGTCGGACCCTTCTTTACAGTGGCTTATATCGGCCCGTTGTATAAACATAGCTGTCCCCGATTGCCGGCTGGTGGAGGGGGATATTGCCGTCTGCCCTTCTTTTGCAATACGTTGTTGTAATTTCTAGCGTCCTGGTTAACTGAAGTTGTGATGCCGGGTTCACACGAGGATTCCAAGTTAGGGCTCTTTCATACAATCATAACAAGTGGTGTTATTTGTCATTGCTTTCTGCTGTACCTCAACGTAGTTTGTTGTCCAGGAAATTCTTGGAAATTCATATAATATGCCAACCTAAAAAATGTGAAACTTCATAACATTTAAGTCGGTATAAACTTTGAGCCTCCCATAAACTCGAAGAAACTTCGCAAGTGTGTTTTGTTATACTTGCAATCTGTGTTGAAATTCTGAAAGTTTAATTAAATGTGCGGGTGTTATTATTTACGAGATTCCCAGATTACGAGTTAATACCTAGGCACGTACTCTATGCCACTCGTTTTGAAACAATAATGCCATGAAAATGTTTTATACTCCACGTGAAACATTCCTTGGTCATTAGGGATACGTTAAAACAGCATTATAACCTTTGTCCGAACGGTTTAATTTGCCTGAGCCGAAATATCACACATTAAGTGGCAGTTTCCACTATTAATTCTCATGGTAAGTAATCTGGAGAAAAATCAGATTCTTTATTAAATGCGTGGATGCAGTTTCCTGAAATACATTGTCGTCCGTTAGGAATTACGTTTTTCGTATTCTGGTGAAGTTACGTTCCTAACAGTGCAGACATTTAAATTTTATAAGTGAAAAATGACTTTAATTCTTCTCTTCTTGTATTGTCTTATTAAGGAGTTTTGATTGATTTCCACCCAGTCTCATGAATGTTATCTCGTTTGTTTCTGTTTCATTCCTGACCACCCAATCGATTTGAATGTATTTCCATGTGCGGCAGAAGAGCCATTTATTTATGACGACTGGTATGTTTTAATGGTTTTGTCAAATGTTCATGTTTCTTTGCTTTTTTTTTTTTTTGGTAATCAAATTTGTATCAGTATTCAATTAAAAGAGTTATAAATAAAATAAAAGAAATTCGATGTTGGGTACATGCGCACAAGACGAAAATCGTTCTACCTCATCATCAGTTGACGGCTGGGGCACGATCGCATCACGCTGCTGATGAGACGTGTAGAGGTGGCCGATAAATCGCAGCCTGCTACTTTGTCACGGATATTTCCTTGTCACAGTTTATCTCTCATAGACTAAAGATGAGGTAGACCGCTTGTACTCATTCTGCGCATGTACCCAACATTGGCCTACCTAAAAGGAACACAACTGTCAAAGTTACATGGTTAACAGCGATGGACGTGCTTGTTTATATCTTGATTTTTTTAAAATTACAACCACTATTATATTTAAAAAAATCCTTTCACCAGTTCGAATTTAATCAAACTGCATTAAAAATATGTTAAAGGAATATACAGACATCTCAAAGCACTTGTTTACTAAACAGCGATCTAACCTCAAATCTAATCCACGCCGTTTTTGCTAGACGTGTTGGCAGAAAATCAGTTCAATGTTGGGACACGGAGATTGGTTGTTGTGTGCAGCCAGCGAGATCGGTCTACCTCAACTTTAGTCTATGGTTAATTCTATTCAGGAAAAAACGCAATGGAAAATTTCTGCCGCAAGGTGCGCTGGTCTTCCAAAGAGGTCACTTTTAAGCTGGCGGTAAATGGAGGATTTCTAAATATTTTTATGTAAAAGTTAGTGCTTGGTTTGAATTGTGATATCTATTTGCCCTAGACAATATGTTAAGCATTGACTTCGTTCCGCAACTCTTATTTCCGCCATCCAATGATGTTTTCAAGAGCAAACAGAAAGCATGAAACACTGTTTGGTATTAGGCGCTCATTAGCTAACTTAATTCAATGGGAAGACGTTACGAATTTAAGTGCAAAAAAAAAATAGCTGTTATCAAAACGAACTTGTACTGCGCAGGAAAGCCCTAAAAATTATATTTTTGGCTATTCGATGATTATAATTTTCGATTCAGTTGTGATATTTAAACAAATTAATTGTTTAAGCCTACGTTTTGCTGTATCCAATTTATCACAGGATATTTAACAATATGTGAGTATAGTTTGTTATATTTTCACTCTAGTGGGAAGAAAAATGTTTATTCTTTACGTAGGGTCGAAAACAATAAGACTCGGAAGTTTTTAAACAATTACATTTATCATATGAAAAATTGTAATCTACCCATTTACTTGTACACAAAACGGAAAAATCCGGTACACATGCTACACGAGTGATACCTGAAGGCGAAAAATTGTAGTTGCTAAACTAAAAGCATTTCTCTTCCCAGCCTGAGAATAATAGACCTTATTTTAGCTCATCTCTAGAAACGGGTGTGACGGATGGTGGCAACAGAAGCAGGGGAAGGGAGGTATACGCTGTTCACGGTTAACTGAGAACTTTTTAAAGCCCTGCTTATTAAAGGCTATTCACTATAAAGTTAACACTTTTGAAATCAACCTTAGAAAAATGTCACTGCCCCTGCCTGTATACATTTTAAATGGCACATTAAGTGATATGCGTCCGGTAAAGTTGGTAACGATGGATGGAAAGTAGTTCCATATGTTAACGTCGAATAGAAAATGTTAGGGAACCATTTGTGATAGTTAAAATTATTTCTTATGATTTTTGTTTTTTAAAGCCTCAATGTGTAAAAATAAGCAGATTTAATAAATGTTGACTTTTTAAAATAATTTCTCAGTTTCATTTGACCGACGCATGAATAAAGTGATGAAGCCGATGGCAATGTTAATTTTACATATGGCGGAAGAATACACAACGTGCATACAAGTAGATCTTGAGCAGGGCTTTCAAAAGTGCTCATTTTACAGTGAACAACCTATAGCTAGTTGTATGCACGTTGTGTATTCTACCGCCTTATGTAAAATTAACATTGTCATCGTCCTCATTACTTTATTCATGCGTCGGTCAAGTGAAACTGTGAAATTATTAGATAAATATTATTCTGCAAATTTGCTCATTTTAACTCTTTGGTATATTAAAAAAAAAAAAAAAAAAAAAAAATTTCTACGGTTGATTTAGAAATTGCTCACTTTATCGTGAACAGTCTCTGGTTTCAGAGAGGCCCCGCGCGGGCCCGCGACGTCGCGGTGAGGCCAGTGAGTTGCCGTCCCCAGACGCCAAACTGGAGTCGCGTGCCCGCACAGCCGTGAACCGAGGTCGCCGACTACAGCCTTCTTTCAGCATCCTCGCGCTGGACCGCTTCTCATCTCTCTCTCTCTCTCTCTCTCTCTCTC